TATATGTAAGATCAGTTTAGTTCTTTCATACACAGGTCAACAATAAGTAAACAATAAGATTGTTTTATGTCTTGAGTGATTGTAATACACGTGATGAAACAATGGAGATTCCGACCATACCTTACACAAGTAAAGTTAAGTTTTTTTTAAATGTTTATAAACATAACAGTGTTTCTCATAATCCAGTAGTTGAACTATTCTGTGAATAAATAACAGTTTCCGTATCATTGGGAAACATATTTGGAAAGGAGGATTATTGACGTAACCTAAATGATTACCGTTCAAATATATATCTTTTTTATCCATTAGTCTATTAAATTATCAGCTATGTGATTGTCTATAGTGGTGTGTATAGTAGCATGTTCCGTCAATCATGTTATGTCATGTGACATGAGATGACATGTCTTGGGATCGCTCGGTGTATTGCAAGTGTTTCTGTCATTGCCATATTTGATCAACTATTTGACTGACAAACAAACAATTTTACAGATGGACATATATAATTTTTTATGAACAGTTAATAACTTACAGTAACATAATTTAAGTATATTATTTTAGGAATATGCATACTTCCTGAAGTAAGTGGGTGAACTGAAGCATAGCAATACTTGCCTATTTTACTGTTACATATTAGTGTTTGCTAAACACAAACCTTAAGAACAGTTAGTTATTTATAGTTTTGAGAAGGTTCATAATGTAAACAAGTAGTACCGATAACTGATAACTGACCTCTTGTTTGATTGTTTTGCATTCATAATCAACAAAGAACATTTAATTAAAAATACTATCGGCTGATTGTAAATACAATGTACGATGCATATAAGCATCTGATGTGGCAGATTCGTATATTATAAAAGTTGGTGTCAGTTAATAAACAAAATTATACCTACAACAACTTACCATAGCAGCCACGTCCACCTTTAACTCCAGGCCACGGCCTGGTAGAATTGGCAACGGTGCAAGTAGTGTTGTGTATCCCATACTTAAATAATTGATAATTAATTGATGATTGATACTTACGCTTTGTGTTTATTTTACCTGCTAATGGTCATCTTGTTTCTTGGAGGACTACTATGACCATGATTCTTCTCTAGTTCTTCTGCTAAAATCTCTATTGCTACTGCTTGGTTTCTAACATTCCATGTTCCAATTCTTAAGTACTTTGACAAATCAATGCTACGCCACCGCCGGCATAGCTCTCGAGTTTGTCAGAGCACGCAAGCCCCACCGCCGCATCAAGGCAGGGATCCCTTCGGGGGCTCGACAGATATAGTAAAGTAAAAAATTATGAGACAATCTTAGTTCCTAAGGAAGGCATGGGAACTGTGTAGAAGCAAATGGGCCTGAGCCCTAACAGAAGTTCTCAAACCCGTTTATCTGTAAGCATATACGACGTATAAGAAAGTGTTTTTAAAATTCGAACCAAATTATTTCTTAGAGAATTGGTGCTTAAAAAAGGTACTATTTACCTTTCATATGATCGTAATGACAGTCGTAAAAAGGTCTCAAGTGATTGGACGTTTTACCTTCGTTTTTTCAACAGAGCTACGAGTAATTCGTAAAAAAATATATGAGGTGATGAATAAACAAGAAATATTCCCATACTTGGAAAGAAAAGGAACTTAGTTTCATTGATATTACGTTAATACTTTTTTTTATAAACATGCCAATTACCAAACTGTGTCAGGTGTAAGCTCTACGTCAGAGTCGCGACGTGAGAGATTTGAATTAGCAATCAATCAAGGTGGGATGGGCAAGTTAGAAATACAATCACAGACTGATTGGCCTCTCCTTCACCTAATTGTGTTATCTCGGGTTATAATGTCTCACAGAACAAACCTACACTACTGTTGTCCAAATGTCACTACCGCATCCGTTTATTGCTTAGTTAACTTAAATTAACTTAAATTAATTAACTTAAATACATTGGAAAATAAATGACATCTGGTTCACGGTAATGAGATGTCTACTTGCAGTACCAACCCAAAGTCAATTCTAAATCTATTTTTATGAGATGTCTAGTTGCAGTATTGTCACGGTGACCAATCGAGCCATAAAGGTCGAAGTAAAATGTCTAACAGTGTAAATTACGTTAAATTACCCTGTTTGTACGATTTGTACCATTTCAGATTTAAATTTTCCTATGGTTACAATGACCTAGACTGGCAAAGGAAGGTTCCGCGATGTGCCGCTAATGGTTGCTCAGTGTTCGTCGATTCGCTGCCGTCGTCGACTCGCCATCTGCTACTACACAGTAGCATAGATGAAGTAATATATATGGTGTTTATTTATTCTATGACAGTAGTATGTAGCGTGTTGTATAGTACGCCATCTATATACCCAAAGAGTATTTAGAGGCTCCGTTTTTTTTATACTTTTAAAGCTAAATTTCATAAATAAATAAAAGGTTAAAATACCTGCTTGTCGCCTTGTCTGTGGTCCAAAGTACTTTTAACCTTTTATTTATTTGTCAATCAATTGGTCCGGAAACACCACAACAAAATATAAAACTATATTTCATACTTATATGATTTATATACAATGTCCCATTACTTTAGCCATACTGAAGGGTAACAGTTTTAATGTTACTTGTTAAGATCTGTAAGAATATTTGTGTTACGAAGAAAATTAACCCAGAAAACTATCAAGAAATTGAATGAGAAATCAGTGGGTGGGTGTAAGGTGAGTAGTCAATGGCGTAAGTCATGGAAGTAATTAATTAATACTAAATATTACTGCCATATAATATATTCATCATTTTAGAAATTTTATCCAATCAACAAATGCTCTAAAAAGGGTATAGAGGGAAATGTTTGGAAATGAATTTCTAACCCCGTCATTTTGTTTAGAATAGTTGGTAGTCGACATTCCAAGTCACCACTACTAGGATAAGGAAACTGTTGTGATAACCAAATTTATAGACATATTTTGATCAAATAAGGAAAATTAATTGATTTCATACTAAAGTACTGTATTACATTTAACTAAAAAATCCCGTTATTACCTTCTCTGTAGAACTAAACGTGAGTTCTCGTGAAACAAATGTTAAGGAAATTAATATAACATTTTAAGAAGACATTTTGGTTAAAATCCAAAAAGGCAAATTCGATTAGTCTGCAGGTTTGCTGTTACGGCGGCATTTATGCCTGTTATCACCATTAGTGGCGTTATCTTTTCGCTTTTATATTGATTTTTTTATGTATACAGTGATAGTGTGTATCGGATATTAATTTTGTTGGTTTAGTTTATTTTCCATTCATTTCAAATTCTGCGTACTGGCAACAACGTAAGTGAAACGAAAATATTGACGTAGAATTTCTCTACAAAATTCAACCTTAAATATTATTTTACGTTTATTGAAGTATTCAATTCATCTTTTAGGTAAAATGTATTTAGCAAATATGTTATAGGCCTAAGTAAGTATAGCCGTTTCAAAATACACTTTTGTAACACATTTAAGTTAACTAATACACTTACAGTCATAATAAGCTTTATAACGTGTGTGTGTGTATAAGTAACTGATACAAATAAAAAGAGGATAATGTTTATTTACAGGCCTAAGAATATAACGTTCACGTCCTTTCATCATCCCAAAACTAATGGGGTACTAGAAGTTTATCGTATCGACAATAAAACTAAAATGATGTTGGTTTCACAATTTTTCTGTACTAAAGTTTTAACAATAATGGAACAATTAAAATAAAATACTATTACATCTAGACTAAAGTGACAGTTTTATTTGCATACTTTGCTTCACAGTTACAATAATTTATAACTTCTTATCTTTTATCACCGCTAGAGGTATAATCAAATGTAAAACGCCGGCCTGATAATATACAACGTAATTTTCTAAGGTTGGAAGAGCATAACTGTGAAACTGCAATAATCATAAACTAAAGTTTATTCTTAATCTTTTCGCTCGGATACATTTTATGATACTCCCTAGTAAAACTCAAAACGGACGTAATACTTTTAATCCATTTAATTCTGATGTATAGACAAAAAATGCTTGTGAGCTTCGGCTTTTAAATATGTACTAAAATAATAATTAAAATGATAATATATTGCACGAACAATTACTAATGCTTTATTAAAATATAGTATTAACGAAATTGACGATAGGTTAAATCTGTTAGATTATACTGTATTTGACATTTTCAAGAATTTTGTATACACGATGATTTAAAAATGGTATTTTTTTACCTTTCTAAATGAATACGTATGTTATCTTTTTAATGGCTGATATGGTAGGCTACGTACCTTTTGTCCTTCAGTATTTTAATAATTAGTCTAGGGTGACTTGTTTCGGGTACAAAACCCCATTTTCAAACCCAAGTCAAAATGGTTGGTCAAAAATCCCCCGGAAGTTTTCGTTAATGTATAAAATATACTTTGACAGATTAAAGTCCACATTTAACACGAAATTCATTACGAAACAATCAGTTTGAACAGTCAATTTGAATCAGTTCAAATAATGCATTCCTCTCAGCAGGGATCAGATGCATGCACGAATACTTGAAGAGAACCGGCATCAATCTCAAATATAAACAAATTATGTTGCTGGCCCGAATCCTATGCTAATAGCTTTAAGATATGGTGTAGACAGTTCCGTTCAAGCAATGTTAAGTATTCTTGGATGCTTGTATAAGACGTTTACAAGATGTGTTTTTCTGTTCCTGTTTGAGTAGAGACATATTAAATTATATACAGTATTTCCCTAGAAGATGTATGCACCAAATCAGCGAAGAGAACCGTTGATACTTGAGAAAACTCAAGACCCTGGCAAAACATCGCCATTGATTTTGCCTAGGAAGGTTGATGTGTTTAACTGATGTACTGACTTAAGACCATATGTGTATATCAATTAATGATCACCTGTTATTTTGTATTTGTTTTGTTTGTATTAGTTTTTCTGTTTACATTAAAGTATGAGTTTGATTCTACTGAACTAATTTAGTTATTATTTGAAAATGTAACATTGGCGACGAGGAAAACGAAGAATGGACGGACAAGAGTTAAATAATCTAAAGAAAGCACGAGCTGTAGTAAAAGGACAGTTGAAGAAGGCAGAAAGATTCCAGTCTCAAGGTAGTCTTACAGTGACAGAGGTGAGTGTTAAACTCAAAGCAATTGCTGACCAGTGGGAACGTTACAAAAGTATTCAGGACCAAATTGATACATTAACCGATGAAGAAAACTTGCACCATGAAATAGAATGTAGATGTAATGTTGAGGATAAGTATTTAAATCTTACAACAAAACTGCAAGAGTTAATTAAGAATGAATGTTCCAACACTAGGTCTACACCACTTCACCCAATTAGCAATCCATCTGAGGCGACACATAGTTCAATTCCCGGGTCCTCATTGTCGGGTAGTATAAATTTTACACCTTTTCACCCAGATGAAACGGTTACAAATTTCATAAAGAGACTTGAAATATTCCTACATCTTAAAAATCTAAGTACAGATGGTAATGCTAAAGTTTACATGCTACTACACGCTCTTACACCCCAGTTACACCAACAACTTTATGATTTATGTGCACCTGAAAACCCACTTACAAAAGACTACAGTGAGTTGGTTCAGATACTAAAGGATTTTGTAGAACCACAGCCAAGTCAATGGGCTTTACAACACAAGTTTATTTCACGTACTCAACAAGAACATGAATCCATAAATGAATTCTCAATAGCACTTAAGACATTAACTAGCAACTGTGACTTTAATTGTGATTGTGGAAAGTCGGTTGCAGAGATGTTTCTTAAACTTCAGTTTATTCGTGGTTTGAATGACATAGATATTCGAGCCAAACTTCTTCAAGGACGAGAGAAACGCACGTACAAAGACATTGTTAACGAAGCATCGGCAATGGAACTGGCTAAATCTGAGAGCAAAACTGTATGTCGCAAAACAATGGAACACCTTGATTTGAACAGGGTGGATTCCAATAGTAGTGATAGGAACAAGCCAAAGAAAATGTTGTATCGACAAACATTTCAAGAAACCGGCACGAGACCCAACACAAAATTTGACAATCTAAAAGGGAAATGTTACAGATGCGGTTCACCTTCTCATCGAGCTAACAAATGTAAATTTATAGATGCTGAGTGCAGAAAATGTACTAAAATTGGACACATAGCAAGTGTATGCTTACAGAAAAAGAACCAGACTAACAGAAATTTGGAGCAATACCAGACTCAAGATGACTCAGAGAAAGGCAGTGAGTATGAACATGAAATTAATGTACTAAGTGACAGACAAAAAGGTAAATTCATTCTTGACATATCGATTGAAGGAAAAACTGTACCAATGGAATTGGATACAGGCGCAGCCCTTAGTACAATGTCCTATGATGATTTTAAAAAACTGAATGTACGTACAAAAGTATTTAAAACCAACATCGAACTTAGAACATACACAGGTGAACCTATCAATCCCAAGGGTATGACATTTGTACAATGCTCATACAAGATGCAAAAATTTGTTGGAAAACTCTACCTTATTGAACAAAATGTAGATGCTATATTTGGAAGAGAATGGCTCAGAGAAGTGACAATAGATTGGGCTGAGATAAAAAATGTGAAAGCAATACAACCTGAAAGTCTTGATACCATCCTCAGTGATTTTGAGGAAGTTTTTGATGGTAAAATTGGAGAGATACCTGAGTATCTGGGACACTATAGACTTATAGACGATGCTACACCTATATTTGTAAAACCAAGACAAATACCCTTTTCCCTTAAAAGTAAAGTTGAAAATGAATTGAAAAGACTTGAAGACTGTAACATTATAACAAAGATTGACCATTCTGACTGGGGAACTCCCATTGTACCAGTGGTGAAGCCAAACGGACAAGTACGAATTTGTGCCGATTACAAAGTAACACTGAACAGAGTAATAAAAGATGAGAACCACCCTATTCCAAGAATTGAAGAAATCCACTCTCAAATGAACGGAGGAAAAGTATTTTGCATGCTAGATATTTCCAACGCATATCTTCACATGAAAATGGATGAGGACAGCGCACACATGCAAACATTGAGTACACATAAAGGTATGTACAAAAATAATCGTTTGATGTTTGGTGTCAAAGTTGCTCCTTCACTTTGGCAACAGTTCATGGACAAAACTTTACAAGGTATTTGCGGAGTGCAATGCTTTTTTGATGACATTATTATACAAGGTAAGACATCTGAAGAACTCATGAAAAGATTAAAGGTTGTTCTAGAAAGATTAAAAAGTAAAAACTTAAAATTGAACAGAGAAAAATGTAAGTTTTTTCAAACTAGCCTGCAATATCTGGGACATATAATTGATGCTCAAGGTATTCATAAAACAAAGGAAAAAGTCTCATCCATCTTAAACAGCAAAAGACCAGAAAACGTAACAGAACTTCGCAAATTTCTTGGATTAATAAACTACTACAACAAATTCATAAAAGATTTAGCTACAATCCTACACCCACTCAACCAGCTACTAAAAAAGACGCATGCTACGATTGGACCTCAAAATGTGAGAATAGTTTTCAAAAGGTCAAATCAGAATTAGCAAGTGATCGCGTCCTTGTACATTATAATCCTGATTTGCCTCTGGTACTAGCAACGGATGCCTCTCCGGTGGGTCTTGGTGCTATTCTTTCACAGCGTTACAGCGATGGAAGTGAGAGACCGATAAGTTTTGCCTCACGCAGTTTGACAAAATGTGAACAGCTCTACAGCCAAATTGACAAGGAAGCCACTGGCATCTACTGGGGGCTTAAGAAGTTTTTCCCGTACTGTTATGGACGGAAATTTACTCTGATTACTGACCACAAGCCACTCGTATCCATATTCAGCCCCACAAAAACACTACCATCAATATCTGCAACTAGATTATTTAATTATGCACACTTTCTATCTGGATTCGACTACAAAATTGAATACAGAAGAACATCAGATCATGCTAACGTAGATTTTTTATCTCGGTTCCCAACTGAGCATGCTTCAACTAAAGGCAGGGACAACTGTGACCTTTTTCAACTTAGTCAGCTCGATTATTTTCAAATTAGTAGTTCTACAATTTCTAAGTCAACAGCCCACGACAAAGACCTTCAACCAATACTACATGCACTTGAAGAAGGTAAATCAGTGGAAGCTTTTGGGTACCATGACAATGAATTAACACTTCAAGACGGATGTATATTCAAAGGATGTCGAGTTTTAATACCACAATCCCTTCGTAGGAAGGTTCTTGATGAACTTCATATTGGGCATTTAGGCATGGAGAAAATGAAATCCCTAGCCAGAAGCTATTGTGCATGGAAGAATATTGACCGAGATATAGAGCAATTGGCAAAATCGTGCAAACAATGCCGTTTGAAACAAAATGAACCAAGAAAGGAACAAAATCATCCCTGGATTGCTCCCCAGGGACCATGGGAAAGGTTACATATAGACTTTGCTGGTCCAATGCAAGGACAGTGGTACTTTATAATTGTGGATGCCTTTACTAAGTGGATTGAGGTAATACCTACTAAGAATACTTCTACAGAATTTTGCACAAGAGAACTTAGAAAACTATTTGCTACATTTTGTCTTCCCATGATTTTGGTTTCTGACAATGGAAGTCAATTTACGTCTAGCGACTTCAAACAGTTCCTATCAGAAAACGGGGTGGTCCACAAAACAACTGCTCCTTACCACCCTTCGTCAAACGGGCAGGCTGAGCGTTATGTCCAGACTGTGAAGAAGTCCCTAAGAGCAATGGAAGACGAGGGAGGGAGACTAGATGTCAAACTCTTCAGAATGCTTATGCAGTTACGTCAAACCTCAAAATTCATCTGGCTGTGATGCATACTCCTTGATGTTTGGCAGGAAGATTCGAACACACATAGCTCTTTTACATCCTACACGTAAACAAGAAACTGAACATGTGAAGCAACCAACAAGATATTTTAAGGAGGGAGACATAGTACAAGCTAGAAATTATTCAAACTCAAAAGACAAGTGGAGTTTTGGAAGAATATTGGAAAGGGAAAGCAACCTTCTGTATAAAGTACAAATGGACGATGGAACTGTCTGGAGGCGTCATGTTGACCAACTACTCAAATGTGAAATAACGTTACCAAAACATTTCAGAGGGGAGAATTGATGTGTTTAACTGATGTACTGACTTAAGACCATATGTGTATATCAATTAATGATCACCTGTTATTTTGTATTTGTTTTGTTTGTATTAGTTTTTCTGTTTACATTAAAGTATGAGTTTGATTCTACTGAACTAATTTAGTTATTATTTGAAAATGTAACAAAGGTAGAGTTCACTATTTCATTGTTTGTGATTATTTTTCATAATTTTTTAAATTGAAAATGGTAACATAATGCAAAAGTAACATTTTATAACAACATAACATTTTGCTAAGAATTGTTTGCAGGTTTAGAATAACAGAAGTGGTAGTTGCAGATAGTGGAATGCCCCTCATGATTCAAATTTTTCATGATTTCGCTCAAAATTGGCATTTCAAGATATTTTTATACCCTCCGTAATACGACCAAGCGAACGGTAAAACATAGTCGGCAGTAAAACTGTTCAAGAATCTTTTGAGATCACGTCAAGATGGACTGAACTTTTATCAAGCTTTATTAAAACCCAGGAACACCCCTTTGCAAGGAATTACACAACTACAAATGGTACAACTACAATGAAACTCCGGACGTCATCGAACAATCTTTATCAAATAAATTAGTTTACTGTCAAATGATAATTAACATTTTAATAACAGACAATAGACTAACCTTATGTATCAGCCTAAAAAACAAATGATTATTGTATGTATTTATACTAGTGTTTATAACATTGTGTTTGGTTAAAGTTGATTATTAAGTTAGTATAGTTACAATAATTTTGTTAATATAAGATCAATGTTATAAATACCAGATATAAACATACAATTATCATTTGTTTTAAGCTGATCTACAAGGTTAGTCTACTGTCTGTTATTAAAATGTAAACGATCATTTGACAGTAAAATAATTTATTTGATAAAGAAGTTTAGTAACGTCCGCAGTTTCATTGTAGTTGTACACAATAGAAACAACCGAGAGATTTTCTTCTCTCACACAGCAACTGTTTTGTAAAGATTGATCGTTATAAGTTTAAAGTACCAGGGATCCGAGCCATGGCTCGGTATAGTTTATTCCGATTGTAAAGGCCATTTATATAAAAGGAACTCACCTTGTATTTACAACTAATTTTGGCTTTTACTATGAAGTTTCAGTGGAATTGTAATTTATATTAAGATGGACATTTTAACCTGGCAATCCACAACACATTAAATTATTTTATCGTCGATGGTAAAAATCACTCGTTTATTTACATGAATATTGTTTTAACGGTTTGTTTTGATTTAACCAGCTAGTTGAGTTTGTTGTTTAAATTATAATTCAAATAAAATAAATATCATATTATTAAATATTTATTTCACTGTTAAGCCAAAGTTTGCTAACAGTAGCTTCAGTACTTTGGGGATTAAGTTTTGGTTGGAGAGGGCCAAGTAAAATAATCGATATTTGATAGGATCTATTTTCTCCTATAACGAGGAATCTTCAGTGTAATCGTTGCTCAATGGTAACAACCGATGTTTTCCCTTTCTTGTTGCCTATATTATGCAATTTGCTAGTATACTTTGGATGGCTTGATATACACACTTGTTATAAGCCTCTTGTTTACCTTTTCCTTATTATTTTGTTCAAACAACATAGTTACTTGGCAATCCATAAGGCTGATGTAATATTTCTAAATTTTAAAATGAGTTGTGAAGAAAATGCGAATTTTTTGAGGTAGTGGCTGTCACCAAACACGTTTTTAGGCCATAAATAAAAAAAAGACAACGTTTGAAAATCTTCGAACCCGTTTTCGAGATCTTTGTGCAAGCATTCATACATACAAACAAACACACATTGCACCATCCGTTCAAATGTATATATTGTATACTAGCAGAGTGGTGTCCATCTTACAAGGTTGGCGTATAAGTATAAAATTCTTATTGCAGTTACTTGTGCTTTGCGTTTGCAATATGAGAGAATATGTTTTTAAGAAAATTTGGTTCATGGTAGATTATAATTTATGGCATACTAGCCTATAGTATAGCACATCTACCATAGCCATAATGTTACACTGCACCTAAACAATAGAAAAAGTTAAGTTCTCACAGCTTTTTGTTGCTGTTTGGTTCAAATTCAGCTGTTGTCATAAATGCAAAAAGATTTAACAGTGCTGCACAATGTCGGTAAACATATTGCTATTAATTTATTGTTATTGAATATCATAGAGTGTAGTTGAAATAGCTGGCAAAATTCTTAAATTCCTTTTAAATATGAATACTCATAGGTTAATATGGGAGACTCTAGAGCCACTGTCGGAGTCCGAACGGATTTTTGTGTTCAGAATATGTTAATCAGAAATGTGAACTATCATCATACCAAATCCGACCAGTAGTTAATGCGTGATTGAACTTCAAACAAACGAACAAATAAATAAACAATAAAACATGCGAACAAACAAACACAAACTTTCACATTTATAATATCAGTATGATTTATCATACTTTTATTTCATCATATCATAAATGTGAAAGTTTGTGTGTTTGTTAGTTAGTTTGTTTGGGCTCTTTCACGCATTTACTGGCCGGGTTGGGCTGAAAAATGGCATTATGATAGCCGACATTCCCGATTTAATATATAGAGTATTCATATCTCAAAAATCCTTTTGTGCTCCACCCAGTGGCCCTGGAGTTTCTCATGTTAACCTTATGAGTATTCATATTTAAAATAAATTAAAGAAGACATATGTTTCAACTAAATTAGTTGGTTCTATTATGTTCAAAAGCATTCTATGGTACAGCCCTAATATTTTCAACCAATAGGGCACAGCACTATTATTTTTTTATTGAATGTATAACAGCTAATTTTAAATAAGTAGTTGCGAACATAAATATGTGATACACAATTAGAACGTAACGATTAGAAGGTTATTTCAAGAGTATGATGAAAATAGTTGTTCGTTACACGGAACAAAAGTGTCTGGTACTTAATCGTAATTCCAAGCTTTGCTACAACTCGCTTTTAAAATACGGTTGCATACTAAAAAGAACCACTTTCGCTAATAGTGATGGAAACTTTTATTTCCGAGAATCAGATTTAGAAACAATCGATGTTATAATTTTGCTTTCATCCTGTTCTGTTTTCAAACAATGGCCAAAGCTGGGACTCATCAATTGCCTCTTCAAACCATGATCATAAATGTCGTCCTATTGGTGAATCAGGATATACAATACATCGGCGTTGGACGCCGTTTATAGCTCCAATCATATGATGATTATCAGAGCTGTATCGTTGACCAATCAGCCCTGAAGTAAAATTGTCCTTAAACACTGTTGGATATTTAATTACAATATGTAAGGTTTAAAAAGGTTTTTATTTGCACATTGCAGGGTATTTTATTTTATATTTTTGTAACCAAACAAATTATAGATTTTTTAGTTTTTACTAGAGTTATTAGAATCAAGGTAAAGATTTTATTTTATTGTAAGCAATCCAATCCTTTGAGTTTTCATTTTCAATACGCTCACCTGTAGAATTGAACTTTGATCGGGATGTTCCCCTCCCCCGACCGGCTAGATAGTGAGCAGCGTCGGGTAGATGTGCCTTGGACATGGTAGTGACCACGTCATTCTCTCAACGCTCTAATATTCTCCTTTTAACTCTTTTACTCTTTTATAGTTTATTCCTCTAAATTCAGTGTAATTATTGTGATCATCTCAACACCTCGTCCGCCACACCATGAAGACTACCAGACTGATTGAGGGCCCTCACTTCGCAGCAACGTCTCAGCATGGAACTCTCTACTCACAATATAATTGTACAGGTATTTTTAAATGGTCCTTCGGTTGCTAAAAATTACTCACAAACATTTAACAAACACATAGGCATACATATTTGATTTAAAGCCACTTTGGAAACTAGCACATTTCTTAAAAATATTTTTGTTTTAAATCACTTTAAATATGTAACAATTAGTTTGATTCTCATTGTAATTCCTAAAACCGATTAACCTCGGTTCGGTGCCGAGTCAAAATCTGTGTTCCTTTACACTTTGATCGTTTAAAGTATTTATATAGCTTATTTATAAAATCAGACAGTATTGTAATAAAAGAATCAAGTGGAGGTTGTGGGGTGGAAAGACGTGAATCCCTATTCAAATGGATGACGTTAAAATGTTCCGTCCGTTTGTGTATAACTAATACTGTGTGTTAAAAACCTTCTGTTCGATCAAATTTAATAATATTTGTGCTACAAGTACCTTATCCTCCACGTTATTTTATAAAATATAAATTGTTTCTGTGGATATTTTAGGTTTGAGGTAAACAAATGATATAAACTGTAATACTTCAGTAATACGTTTTAATAAACTGAAAAAATACACACCTATATTTTATAATTTATATATATTCATCACTAGGGCCTAAAGTGTTTCCTTTTCATCCAAAATTATTGGGGCATAATTTTGGTTGTACTGTAATTTTGTAATTTTGGTAAACTATAATGGAACATAACAAACATACCAAGAAAACCAAATAAAGGGTAAGCCCCAGTCAAATAAAAGAAAAATCCCACTTGGGTAAAAATTACCGGAGAGTTGGAAATTTGCTTAAACGTTTCTTTTGCTCATTAGATTGAAGAAAATAAAAAAAATACCGATAGGAAGGGCTCTGAATGTGACTTTTTTAGTTTTCACTTATATATTGGAATCTGTAGGTAATTTTTAAAAGTGTTCAATCCAAAGTTAAAGC